ATGCAGGGAGGCAGATACAAAGGAGGAAGGAAAAGGGAGGAGAAGGGAGGAGGAGGAAAGGAGGATGATGAGGATAACGACTACGATAGCTAAGAACAAAGGGCGAGGAGGACGATGCTGATCATGATGATGATGATGATGATGATGATGATGATGATGATGACGATATTGATGATCATGATGGTGCTGGTGATGATGATGATGGTGGTGATGATGAGGATGATGATGATGATGATGATGATGGTGATGATGATGCTGGTGTTGGTGGTGGTGGTGATGGTGCTGGTGATGATGATGAGGATGGTGATGATGATGATGGTGATGATGATGCTGGTGTTGGTGGTGGTGGTGATGATGATGATGATGATGAGGATGATGAGGATGATGCTGCTGATGATGATGGTGATGATGCTGCTGATGATGCTGATGATGATGCTGATGGTGATGATGGTGATGATGCTGCTGCTGATGATGATGTTGCTGATGATGTTGCTGATGCTGCTGATGATGATGATGCTGATGATTGTGATGATGATGATGATGATGGTGGTGGTGCTGATGATGCTGGTGGTGATGATGATGGTGGTGATGCTGCTGATGGTAATGCTGACGGTGCTGCTGCTGACATTATGATGATGGTGATGACGATGCTTAAGCTCATGATGATACTGATGATGGTGATGGTGATGCCGCTGATGATGATGATGCTGCTGGTGTTGGTGGTGGTTGTGATGCTGATGATGATGGTGGTGATGCTGCTGATGATGATACTGATTGTGATGCTGATGATGCTGCTCATGATGCTGATGATGCTGATGATGTTGATGAAGATGCTGAACATGATGATGCTGATGATTATGTCGATGATGGTGATGCAGATGATCATGATGATGCTGATGATGGAGATGGTGATACTGCTGATGATGATGACAATGCTGGTGTTGGTGGTTGTGGTGATGGTGAAGCTGATGGTGATAGTGATGATGATGAGGAGGAGCAGGAGGAGGATGATGCTGCTGATGATGATGATGAGGATGATTATGATGATGATGCTGCTGATGATGATGATGATGGTGGTTGTGACGACGACAAAGAAGATGCTGATGATGATGATGATGATGATGATGATGATGATGATGATGATGATGGTGGTGGTGGTGGTGGTGGTGGTGGTGGTGATGATGATGATGATGATGATGATGCTGATGATGATGATGATGATGATGATGATGATGATGATGCTGATGCTGATGCTGATGATGATGATGATGACGGTGATGATGATTATGATGAAGACGATGGGGACAATGAGGGTCGCATATTTTAAGAAGTGCTACGATGGAGACTAGCATAACGAGGAGGAGAAGGACGAGAGGAAGGAGAGGGACGAGACGGACGAGCAGGACCCGTCTTGGTCTCCACTCGTGGCGACGGAGCGCTCGAGTTGCTTGGCCATCAAACACACAGCCTCCCGAACCAGAGACTTTCGCAGGCTTCGAAGAAGACCCTACAAGAGATGGACTGCTCCAGACTAGCGTTAAGTCGGGCGTGTCTTTCTACAGGGGGAATGTTCAAAAATAGTCAAAAAATAGTATGGGGACTGTTTTCCGCGTACTTTTGGGCATCTTTCGAATATTTTTCGAGTTTTTTTTAATTTCTCGTTCAAAGTCCACCTGTAGGGGGACAGGCCTGACCTAAGACTAGCGCGCGGACGCACGAGGAGCTCGCTCGCTGCACGACTCTCTGACCCGACGGCTTTACCCGTCGGCCAGAGGCCGGCGCAGGTCGGGGGCCCCGCGCTCGGAGAGGACCTCCCTGCTCCCGGAGCGGCGGCGTGCCCGGGGGAAGCTCCCCTCCTCCCCCTCCCTCCCCCTCCTCCTCCTCCTCCTCCTCCTCCTCCTCCTCCTTCTCGGCCTCCTCCTCCGCCTCCTCCTCCGCCGCCGCCGCCTCCTCAGTTCAGAAGTCCTCCAGACTTCCAGAACTTCGAGAAATTGGACTACGTTCCCTGGAGGGGCGTGTGGGCCCAGTGCTGCACACGTGGTTGCACCACGAGCCGCTGAGCGGGGCGGCCGAGTGCTCGGCCACGAGGCAGGACCGCCGTTGCGGCGTCGCTCTATCTAGCTCAGAAGTCCTCTGGCCTTCTGAGAAGCCGCCGGCGTCTCAGAAGAGGAGGCTTCGGACGCGCCCCAGAAGGCCGGAGGCCTCCACGGGGCCTCCTGAGAAGGCCGGTCCCCTCTCGCTCCCTCCCCGGGGCCCGCCGCCGAGCAGGAGCGCTCCGTCCTCATCAGGCAGTGGCGAAGCGTCCTGGCTCGCCCATGGGCCTGCCAAGCAATGCTCTAAGATAGAACATTTCTGGCTGGGACCGTCTTGTTTTATCACCTCGGGCTTAAACATCTAAGAACATCGTCTTGTTCTTGGAACATTTCTTCAAGGGCATCAAAAACGCCCCTGCCCAGGTTTACGAGGCGCTGTGCGCTGAAGCTCCTGTGGGCTGACAGGGTCATACCCTGCGTGATGTGCCGCGTCCTGGCGGCTCTAGGCTCTGGGGGTTCCCAGGCGGCTTACAAACCACGCACTCGTAACCCAGGGTAGGGCCGTTTTTTCATCCCTCAACTTCTGGGTTCTAGGAACATGTCGTGGTACAGTGCCGTTTCGAATACATGCTCCGCGTGCGGATCATGCATTACAGATAAAGGGATCTAATACGAAGGAACAATGATGAATGTATGCGTTGATCTATCAGTCAATCCTGCATTAAATATCTTATTTGAAAAGAATCATATGTGTTAAAAACTGCCCTGCAGGCCTGTAGGAGTGCCGGGACGGTCGGTCCCTCGGCCCTCCAGCCCGCGCGCAGGCCCCCCCGGCGGGAGCGCCCGGCGCCCCCCTGCGGGCCTCGGGGGCGGCAAAGAGGGGGGTGATGACTAGGGGGGGGGTGGATATCCAGGGCTGGGTGTCCTGGGCTTCCAGGGTTGGGTGTCCAGGGCTTCCAGGGTTGGGTGTCCAGGGCTTCCAGGGTTGGGTGTCCAGTCCACGGACGTCCTGGGCTTCCAGGGTTGGGTGTCGCTCGCGCGCGCGCTCGGCTCGCCTGGCTTCGACAGAAGGTTAGGCGATGGTCCCGATGGCCAGAGGAGGGGAGGGTACCGAGGCCGTGTGTATTCGGGGGCGGAAAAGAGGGGGGTGATGACTAGGCGGGGGGTGGATATCGTGTCGTGGGCCATGATATTCCCCCAGATTTCATAGCGCCTCTTCTTCTTTCATTCCGTCCCTGGCCCCCCCGCTGGGCCGCGCACGTGCCGCCGGTCAGGATTTGCACCCCCTCCTCTTGGACACCCCCCCTCTTGGCCGCTCCCGACCGGGGGCCGCAGGTCGTGACCATCGCGAAGGGCATCAAGGGCGCGCTGCGGTCCGTGGTGATCACGCTGGTGCTGCTGCTGGTGCGCGCCGCGCGCCCCTTTGCCGCGGGCGGCTCTCCTCCATTCAGGAGGGGAAGAAACACACAGACACGATTCATCGTCGATTCCCCAGAAAATACGGGAAAATATGGGAAGTGGGGGGAAGACAGAAACCCAGAAGATATGGGAAAATATGGGGATTTTGTTTATTTGTGTGTATTTATTTGTGTGTCCCAGGGCCCCTTCATGCTCTGGAAGCCGTGCCGTCCCCGCAGCAACAGTCCACGGACGTCCTGGGCTTCAGGGTTGGGTGTCGCTCGCGCGCGCGCTCGGCTCGCCTGGCCTCGACAGAAGGTTAGGCGATGGTCCCGATGGCCAGAGGAGGGGAGGGTACCGAGGCCGTGTGTATTCGGGGGCGGAAAAGAGGGGGGTGATGACTAGGGGGGGGTGGATATCATGGCGGGGGCCATGATATTTCCGCAGATTTTATGGCGCCTCTTCTTATTTCATTACGTCCCTGGCCCCCCCGCTGGGCCGCGCACATGCCGCCAGTCATGATTTGCACCCCCCCATCTTGGACACCCCCCTCTTGGCCGCTCCCGATGTATGTGTTTGTGTGTGCATGTTTTTGTGTTTGTGCGTGCTTATGCTTTCCAGGGTGACCTGAAGCCTGGGCCCCGCATGCACGGACGTCCGACGAGCACAAGAGGTAGCATTGGTTACAATGGGCAGTGCTAGCACATATCAATAACGACAGCAACACGCATCAAGTAGGACACAGGAATGCGTGTAGCGGCACGAAGCACTGAACAGTCACCACATAGCATGCAGCAAGTGGGGACTGCCAACGTGGCAGGTGACACGTACAGTTCGCGAAACCACCAGCAGCTGCAGTACCGATGGCAGTAGCATTGGCAGCAGCCAGTGCCAGGTAGCGGGCGGCGAGGGCAAGCCGCACTCCGCAGGCCGCATGGCCACCTGCAGCCGCACCGGCAGTGGCTGCGGCAGCACGGCCCGCTCGCCGCCTCTGTCCAGGGCTCCGCGCGCACCGGTGCCGACGGCCTGCGGCCCATGGCGCCCTCGGCGCCCCGTGCCTGCTCCCGCATCCGGCATCCCCCCGGGGGCCGCGCCGCAGCGCCTGCTGCGCCCCGCGGCGCGCGGCCTTGGTCAGGGGAACCAAAAGTGGCATAAACATAAGAGCTCGGAGGTCCGCGCGGATTTCTCGGATCGGCGCTGGACCCCCCTCCCTGGCGCGCGGAGCGCGCCAGGGGCGGCGCCGGAGGCGCCGGAGGGGGGCCCCAGCGCCGATCCGAGAAATCCGCGCGGACCTCCGAGTTTTTCTGTTTATGTCACTCTTTGTTCCCCTATTGGTGCGCATCGTCCACGTCGCGGCGGCAGTTGCTGACCTGCTGGCCCCGGGGCGCGCCCCGAGCGCTGCGGAGGCGCGGCTGGCGTGCGGGCGGGTGGCGGCAGGCAATGCGCGTGAGGGCCCCCCGCAGCACACCACCTGGGCGGCGCTTGTCGTGCTGGTGGTGGTGACGGGATCGATCGGGAGCATGCGCAGCAGCAGTAGCGGGGCAGCAGCAAGATGAGCGGGAGTGGGTGGAAAGAAGAGGAGGAGGAGGAGGAGGAGGAGGAGGAGGAGGAGGAGGAGGAGGAGGAGGAGCAGGAGCAGCAGCAGCAGCAGCAGCAGCAGCAGCAGCAGCAGCAGCAGCAGCAGCAGCAGCAGCAGCAGCAGCAGGAGGAGCAGCAGCAGCAGCAGCAGCAGCGGCAGCAGCAGCAGCAGCAGCATCAGCGGCAGCAGCGGCAGCAGCATGACAGAGAGAACAGACGGAACGAAGGGGGTGTCGCCGAATCATGCCTAGGTGCACTCTGGGACCTGCGGACGGCCCGTGGGGAGCCGCCAGGTGCTGCTGTACGTGTTCGCCATATTCTTCAAGACGCAGGCCGAGGTCGCGCGGGCCAAGGGGCTCCCGAGCTTCCCGCGGAGGGATCCTAGGGGGGAGCGGAGGCGGGAGGAGGGAGGCGCGCCAGCCGCGCGGCCAGCAAGGCAGTCGAGCAGTCGGGGGATGCCAGGTCTGCGACGTCGAGGTCCTGAGCTGGTACGACGAGCGCGTTGACTCTGTCGGGAAGGCACCGGCGCGGCCTCGAAATGAAGGAGACACAGAGGATGAGCTGGACGCAGATTGAGGAAGACGGGGAGGTGGAGAGGGGTGTAGGTGTCTGAGTAGGAACCAGTGGCGATGCCAGTAATGATGGTGAGCTAACCAAGGCCTCGCTGGGCCTTCTCGCCCTTACTGAGGACCTTGGGGGTTAAACCGCCATGATTCCTGCCTAGGTATGTCTCACCTGTGGGGGAAAGCCCAGCGGTGCAGCGTGGGTCCAAGGTCCGAATCTGTTTGTCGGCCATGGCCCCGCACCTCCCACAGAACCCGACACTTCAGGGAGGTGTGTGCGTCGAGGAGGTGCGAGGGACGCAGTCAGCCCACCCCCCCGACGTGGATCAGCCTTGTCGTGGGAGGGGAACACATCACACCATTCACATTCACCAGATCAGGGCGGGCGAGGCGTGCCACTCTATCATGGTAGCCTTCGAGGCAGACCCAAAACATTTTGGGGCAACGCTGCTTGCACTCGAAGAGAGCAGGGGCTTGCTTAGGGCCCCCCCGCACCTTTTCCATTCGCGCTTCAGCTCCTTCTCCCTGGCCATGCTGTCCAGAGAAACTCGCACGAGTCTCATGCGCACCAGTTGTGCACGGCGCTCGTGCAGCTGGACTCGGGTCCGTTCCGCTTCTGATATTCTGGCCTGGCTGTGTGCCAGGCCAGCTAATCCATCAACAACTGCGTTATCGAGCATGAGCTGCGGGATTCCCTCGCCTCTGGTGAGTGACTGACAGGTAAGAGTGAGTGAACAGCGCAACGATGTGATCGAGCCGGCGCTGATTGACGAGCTCACCTATGTCGGCCCAGAGGTCCGCATTCTGGCCTCGTGGCGCTTTGTGGATCGGTGTTCGTACCAGCCGACCTGCGACATCTTCAGAGTCGGTATTGAACGTGAGAAAATCAGTATTCGCCCAGAGAGCAAGATATAGACATTAGGCATTTTAGCTTGCCGCGGGCAACAACCTGTCTCCTGGCACACAAGGGGCCGTATATCTATCTATCTATCTATCTATATATCTATCTATATATCTATCTATCTATCTATCTATCTATCTATCTATCTATCTATCTATCTATCTATCTATCTATCTATCTATCTATACATATATATATATAGATATGAAAGAGCGCGTTCTGTGCCCTCCTGGATGGAGGGGGGGGTTCGACCCCCCCCCCTTCCCCTACTTTTCCTCTCATTCTCCTCGGCTGGCGGCGGCGGCGGCGGGGACGACGATTTCCTTTTCTGGGCCGGCGCCGGAGACTGCGGCGGCGGGCGGCGGCGGCGGGGAGCGTCGACGAGGACGACGGTGGTGGTGGTGGTGGTGGTGGTGGTGGTGGTGGTGGTGGTGGGTTGTGGTGGTGGTGGTGGCGGTGGTGGTGGCGGTGGTGGTTGTGGTGATGTGGTGGTTTGCTGTTGTGGTGGTGGTGGTTGTGGTGGTGGGTGGTGGTGGTGGTGGTGGGTGGTGGTGGTGTGGTGGTGGGTTGTGGTGGTGGTGGGTTGTGGTGGTGGTGGTGGTTTGGTGGTGGTGTGGTGATGGTTTGTGGTGGTGGTGGGTTGTGGTGGTGGTGGTGGTTTGGTGGTGGTGTGGTGGTGGTTTGTGGTGGTGGTGGTGGGTTGTGGCGGTGGCGGTGGTTTGTGGAGGTGGTGCTGGTGGTGATGCTGGTGGCAGTGGTGGTGGTGGTGGTGGTGTGGTGGTTCGTGGCGGTGGTGGTGGCTTGTGCTGCTGGTAGTAGTGGTTGTGGCGGTGGTAGTGGTGGCGTGGTAGAATGTGGTGGTGGTGGTGGTGTTAGTGGTGGTGGGATTTTGTGGTGGTGGTGGTGATGGTGAGTTGTGGTGGTGGTGGTGGTGGTTGTGGTGGTGGTGGTGGCTGTGGTGGTGGTGGTGGTGGTTGTGTGGTGGGTTGTTGGTGGTGGTGGTGGGTTGAGGCGATGGTGGTGGTGGTGGTGGTAGTGGTAGTTATCGTCGCTGCGTCCCCGCCGTCGCCGGCGCCAGCGCCGGCGCTGCTGGCCGCTGCCAGCGCCGGCGCCGGCGCAAGGGGGGGGGTTTGAACCCTCCCCCTTCGGCGCCAGGGGGGGGGGGTTGAACTCCCCCCCCCCGTGTGGGCTGCCTCTGGTCATCGTCGCTGCGTCCCCGCCGCCGGCGCTGCTGGCGGCCGCCAGCGCCGGCGCTGGGGGAGGGGGGGGGTTCGGGGGGGGGGTTTGGGGGGAGGGGAGCCCCCTTGGTTTTGATCGACGGCGCCGAGTGTTGGGGGGGGCCCACCCCCTGGTTCGAAACGCGCCGCCAAATGTTCCCAAGGCAAGCGCCCGTGAAACGCGTTCTCCCATATGTATATATAATGCCGACACGAGGAACGGAAAGGTTGGCTGGATGCTGTGTAAACATGTGATTGCAATCCCGGCGTGGCGCCGCCTAGGGCACCTCCACCGAAGATGGGCACCGGGTCATGCTGGGGGAGGGGGAGGGGGAGGGGGAGGGGAGGGAGGGAGGGAGGGGAGGGGGAGGGGAGGGGAGGGAGGGGGAGGGAGGGAGGGAGGGAGGGAGGGGGGGAGAAGAATACGGCATATCGCAGGAAAAGAGGCGGGTGGTGGAAATTGCAGGGAGCCGCGGGTCGCCCGCGGAGGCGCGGCGACAGCCGCGCCTGGCTCTGCGCGGTCCGGGCCGCAGAGGCGTCCTTCTCCAGCGCGGCGGCTCGAGAGCACGAAGATGGCCGCGTTTCGCGCAGCGCAAAACGCTAAATGAGGCTGCCTGGGAGGGAGGGGGGGGACTGGAGGAGTGAGCGGGAAAACGGGAGGTGGGCTTGCAGAAGATGCCGACATCGTGCCGTGCTGCCTCTCTCGTCTCTCGTCGCGCCGTTCTGGCGCCGGGTTCTCCTCTCCCCCTGAGGGATGGCCGCATCAGCTTCGACCCGCCATCTCCCTCTCCCGTCTTCCTCCCCCCCCCACCCCTTCCACTCATCTGCTCCGGCCCCCCAAAAAACTGATCCCTCCTCCTTGCCTCCCGCTCCAAACGTAAGTAGGGCCGAGGGTCAGAGCGCCTTCCCCTGCAGCACCACCAACACATGAACGTCAAGGTGGTCAAACGCCTCGCCGGTTCAGCCGACGACGACGTGCAAAATCCAATCATTCGCTTGTGTCCAAAATTTTGGCTCGACGCCGGCTGTGGTGCGCCAATTTCAGCTTGACCGAACAGGTGGGTTGCGCCCCTTGACGTCCGTTTGTGATGTTCTGAAAACCTGGCCCGCCCAGCCCCAGCCCTGGTCCACTCCAAACTTCCTCCTTCCCCCATCCTCCTCGCACTCCGCATCCTCCGCCTCCCCGCATCTCCCCCAGGCCCCTCATCCACGCCGTCCTTCTCGAGCTCGCGCCCCTCCTTCCCTCAGGAGGGGAACACACACACACACAGACACAATTAATCGTCGACTCCCAGGAAAATACAGGAAAATATGGGAAGTGGGGGATCCTGTCATTTGTGTCCCTGTGGGGGATCCTGTCATTTGTGGGGGATCCTGTCATTTGTGTCCCTGGGCCCCCTTTATTCCCGCCCTTCCCTCCCCCAGTGGATGTGGGTCCTGCTGCTGGACGGCACGATCCTGGACAACCCGGCCAGACGGGCCAACCAGCTGAGCGCCCCCGCCCGCCGTGGCACGGCCGGCCGGCCGGCGCGAGTGAGGACGAGGACGAGGAGGACGAGGACGAGGACGAGGACGAGGAGGACGAGGACGAGGAGGACGAGGACGAGGAGGACGAGGAGGACGAGGAGGACGAGGACGAGGAGGACGAGGAGGACGAGGACGAGGAGGACGAGGACGAGGACGACGCGGGCGAGGACTCATGGAACCATCTAGAGACATTAGTGCGGCTGCTGCTGCTGCTGCTGCTGGTGCTCTCTGGGAGCTTGGGGGGCCCTCTTGGAACCCTCTTTGTAACCATGGACGCCTTCTTGGGGTCATCTTGGAGGCCATCGATTACAGGATGGGGGGGTCCCTAATTCAGCTCCCCCCTCAGGAGGAGGCAACCCGCTTCTTGGGGCTCTCTTGGAGCGCTCTTGGAGCGGTCTTGGGGTCGTTTGGAGCATCTTGGGAGCCACCTTGAGCCAGCTTGGGCTATCTGAGTCATCTTGGAGGTCATCTTGGGCTCTCTGAGGCCGCTCGGGGGCCTCTTGGCGGCCTCTCGGGTGCCTCTTGGGGCCCTCTTGGGACCCTCTTGGAGCCCTTTTGAGGCTCTCTTGGGGCTCTCTTGGGAGCCCTGGAGCGCCTCTTGGGGCCATCTTCGAGGCTATCGATCAAAGGAGGGAGGGTCCAGATCGAGCCCCCCCCCCTCGGGGGCCACGAGCATCGTGAGAGGTGTCAAGAAGTGGCCCTCCCAGAGGCAGAAAAAGGACCCTCCAACCGATCGCGGCCCCTCCCGTCCAGGCCCAGGGGAGTGGGTAGGGGGAGGGGTCAAGACACCCCTCCCGCCCGCAAGCCGTCTCGCTCACTCCCGCCCGCCCTCCCAACACATACGTAGCACCCGAGTCTGGCCCGAGCCTCAGCATCTTCACCAGTCGTCTTTGGATGGGTAGCTACTGGGGGCCAATCCGCTGCCGCCACCGCCGCCTCCGCCGCCGCCGCCGCCGCCGCCGCTGCCGCCACCGCCGCCACCGCAGCCGCTACCGCTACCGCCACCGCCGCCGCCGCCACCGCCGCCACCGCCGCCGCCGCCGCCGCCGCAGCCGCCGCCGCCGCCGCAGCCGCCGCCGCCGCCGCAGCCGCCGCCGCCTCCGCCAAGTGTACTCTATATTGTTTTTTTGACAGGGATGGTGATGGGGGGGCGCATCGGGTTGGCTGCGCATGCTCCGAAGTTGGAGGCAAAATGTGTTTTGTATTGTTTTTTACAAGGGATTGTGGGGGGGTGTTGGCATGGACCTGGGTTGGCCCCCAGTCGCCTGGGGGAGGGGGTGTTTATTAATAGGGAACAGTGATGAACCCCTCCCCGAAGGAGAAGAGGGGTTTATGGAACCACCTGCGCCCAGAGGGCTGGTGGGACTC